CTTTAGAATTGGATCCTACTAATCTCCAGTCGATGATGGGACTGGCTGTTAGTTATACTAACGAGTCACTACAGTCTAAAGTGATCATTATTGTTTTATTATTATTACTAACCTTGTAATGCAGGCATGTCAGATACTTAAGAGATGGCTCCAAACAAACCCAAAGTATTGATATTAATAATTATTAACAGTCATTGTTCTTTTCTCTCTTCTTTTTTAGATACAGTCTCTTAGTAGACCCAGCTGCTTCTACTGCCCCGCCCAAACCCTTTATGCATTCCTTCATGAGCAAAGAGGAACACTCTGAGGTTGCAGAACTCTTCCTCAAAGCAGCTCAACTCTCGCCGGAGTCCTTAGACCCTGACGTGCAGGTGAACTGAATTGGGAGGGGTTCATAATGAAGCCATACTATTGTGTGTTTAGATTGGGCTGGGGATCTTGTTCAACCTGTCAAACGAGTATGAGAAAGCTGTCGATTGCTTTAGAGCTGCTCTTGTCTCCAAGCCAGAGGACGCCATGCTGTGGAACAAGCTAGGGGCTACACTAGCCAATGGAAACAAAAGTGATGAGGTATTATATTATAGCACATTGTAGTATTTTAAAGGACCATAGACAAGCTATTGAAGCCTATTCCTTAATATTTTTAATTATATACTTTTCTGATGTTCTTATGTCATGTATAAAGTTCTTCAAATTAATGCATTTTTATTGATACCGAGTGGTCCAATTTTATTAAATCCTCTATAGGCGATACATGCCTACAGGCAGGCCCTGGAGAGAGCGCCTGGCTTCACTCGCTGCCGCTACAACTTAGGAATCAGCTGCATTAACCTTAAAGCATACAGGTTGTTAACACTAACACAAGCAAGACATTTGACAAAGATACTGACTTCTTGTTGTTTTAGGGAAGCAGCAGAACATTTCATAACTGCCCTTGACCTTCAGAGAAGAGCAGAAGACTCCATCAGTGGATCAGTTGCTGGTACCAATTCAATGTCAGAGAGCATATGGTCAACATTGCGCCTATCTGTCCTGTACATGGGAAAAGAATATACGCCAATTTTGAATTTAGTTGACACTAGAAACCTTGATGGATTAATAAAGGAATTTATTGGAACTTGACAGCCGATTATTATTATTTATTATTATTGTTATTATTTTAACAAATGAAAGTAACGATTAAAATTGCTAATAGACTTATGACGAGTATTATTACAGCATGTCGAAAAAACGGAGTAAATTTATTGAGAGGAACTGATGAAGAATTGTCCATAAAACCAACAGAAACAGTAGACCCTTCCCATTCCATTGGCTCATCCCTGCATTCTGTCATGTGACTGGTTGGATGAGTCATGTGACTGGTTGGATGAGTCATGTGACTGGTTAGATGAGTCATGTGACTTGTTAGACTAGTAATGTCCAATGTGGATAATCTCCAGGTTACATCAGTGGAGGGATCAAGAGAGCAGGCAGTATGGTAGTCTCGCCCCACCCCTTCGCTACTAGCAGTATGGCTACTGAGACTGTCGTTGGTTCTGCTGTTAAACTTTAGTCTAGGGGATACAAGGAATTTTCTTTTGTGATCTCTTTCACGTGAGTATCCTTCATATGACGATGATTGGAATTGATTAGTATTTGCAATTAGATTAAGTTTCTCGATTTCTTTTAGCCATGGACTTCCTACAAAAGTAATAATCATTCATCGTTTATGATATTTAAGGCTGACCTCGTCTGATTCTGCTCTCTTCTCCCTCACTAATTGAAAGAGTATCAAAACTACCAATCACTTGATTCATGCGACCATCAGCAACTAAAGAGCTTGCCTTTCTCTTCCTTCTACAAAAATTAAAAAAAGGAACAAACTTTTCTTTCAATATCTGTTATACTTTAAGCATATGGTAGAGATAATGATTATGAAGCAGAAAGTAAATGGTATGAGTCCATTAAACTTGGTTATCTCTAAAGTCCTGGATTCAAAGGGAGGAAAACACAAATCTTCATTGCTAGAATTCTTAAACATGGCGCCATTTAACAAATGAGCACGCCTCTTTTGAGCCACACCTTTTGGTATTCCAGTTTGCTACCACGTGCGTTCACATGGTGACAATATCTATGGTGATCAATGATTGATGCACTTTAATGAAGTGCATTATTCAAAGGAGGACAAAAACGAAGAAGAAGAAGGAATGCTCTCTCTCTTTGTTGTGCTTTTTGTAGCATTTAATTTAGTTTCTGGTGAAAGAAATACCAACATTACCGAAGTCCAGAGATGTGCTAACATAGCAATAGGGAATGGTTGCTCCATGTCGTCTATAACTGCATTGATCAACAATACACTCCATGGATCTATTGCCTGTGGCAGCAGGAAAGAAGCCATATATGCAGCCAATGAATGTGGCAGCTCAAGCAATGGACAATACTGTGGAAAAGCTGACCTCTATCAAAGTGACCTCAATGCTTTACAAGACGACTGTCGATCTGTTCTGCAAGGGTCATATTGTAGTTCAAGTTCAAATTGTTCAGTAAAACTTCGCAGCTTGCGCTCTAGTCTTGGTTGCTGCATCAATGCTGTACTGAACCGATCTGATATCGAAAATAATCATTATCTTGGACTTTTCACTCATGATTTATGGAATCGTTGTGGAGTGCAGACAGTTCCAGGAACCTGCTCTGCTGGTAACACACTATTGTACACATTCACATCTCAGAGGAGCTGCAACCACACAGAGCTTCAAAACACTTTACTTGAAGATTACTGCATTACGACTAGACAGACCCAGATTCAAAATGCTCTCCGTGGAATGTCCAGCTGTGATCCTTACATTGACTATTACAACAGTGTGTGCTCCGTTGACAGCTCAAACAGATATTGTCTTTCCATTAATAATTTGACCTACATTCAGGAAGCTTACGTTGACCCAATTATAAGAAGCTGCTTTGCAGGAAATGCCTTGAACTGCTCCTCCAGCTGTGTTAATTATCTGACTGTATTTAAAAATGACTATGGTTGCTGTATGAACGCATTATTCAACTCCACATTCGCTGAAGTACATGACGTGTATCATAGCACTCCCGTTAGAATTGGATTCGTCTACCCAACTTGTGGCATAGAACCTCCTCCCCTTGGCTGCAATTTACGCATCATTGCACCTGCTGATGGTAACAATGGTGGCAATAATGGGAATAACGGCAATACCACCAGTGGTATAGGCAGTGTCACTCAAAATGGAGGAGGGATCTCGTTTCTAATTGCAGCTGCAGTTATCCTCCTTCTTCTCGGAGCTATCTTCACCTAGAAACATTGCAGCTGGCCTGCAGACTAGTTAAAAACTTCATTATAACATAATGTATATCTTAACCCATGAATGAGTGAATCATTATTATTATTATCATTATGTTATGTAGTAATTTAGAGAACTAGTAAAATTTGTTTAATAGGACTCCATAATATAAGGAGGATGCTGTCTCCTAAGCAACAGTAACCATATTTTCTCTTACAAGTATATCTGATCTGATTGACTCTGTTTTTACATTCACAATTACTTCATGATAAACCAGTACAGCTACAAGGGAAAGAGTATTTGAACATAGAAAGTGTCCAGACAAGCAAAGCATTAGAATTTGAATTCTTTGAGTTTCTTTGTTGATTTAGCTGCAGCAGGCACTTCAGCCTTCTTCCTCTTGTGCTAAAATACAAATCAAGACAACCACTGATCAATCAACTATCAGACATACGGTACCTTTTGTCTAGCAGCGTGCTCAGCTACCATGTCGCTAAGATCCTCCTTCTGAAGAACTTTATCCTTTACCTGTTCATACCTACATGTGTATAAAAACCATAATCATCATTATTAAATACATTTCATGTTATAGATAGGATCAGTATTAAGTCCATTAATTTTACTTTTGAGTCATTGCTGACGAATCCAGTTCAAGTTCACTTGGTTCTAGAGATATTTCAATTCCTTCAGTATATCCAGCACTCTACAAGGAGAGAGAGAGGGGGGGGGGGGAAGAGAAATGAGATAGATAGCTTTTAAAAAATAAATCAACTTATACCTTTCTTAATGTGACATTTCCAGGCACACCCTATAATGTTAATAATAAAAGAAATATAATTAAAAAATTTAAATCAACTAACAGCTGCCATGTCGTACACATGTGATGATCCCATCATTGCCCCACCCACTGAAGAGACCTTCTCAGGCAGTACAGTATATAAAGCAGGAGTGTCACCGCTATAGATTTATGAGTCATAATGAGTCGTAATGACATCATAAGGGGATTACCCTTGTTCCATGGCCTCTTCTATCTTTTTCTTCCTCAGCTGGATCATTTCCGGTGTCTCCATACCAGCTGGTATTGATGTAAGACCACTTGGAGTTACCAAACTGAAGGGGGAGAGTCAAAAGAAACAATAATAGATCCAAGGCACACACTGCTGCTATACCCCTACCCTTCCATTGGCGTGATCATTCCCGGCTGTATCTCGTCAGCTCCTTTCTTCTCTTCATCAGACTCATCCTGCAAATCATGAAACAACACATAATACACATATGTACAGGGTCACACCAAATTTTGCCAAAAATGAAAAGTAGAGAATTCTCAATTTTTATAGCATTCCCTGATACATATATATGTTCTTATGTTGTGTAGAAAGTTTGAGCTGATTCAGATCAAAATTGGATTTTTTACGAATTTTTAAAGTTGCTCCAAAATTGGGTAAAAGTCCCTGTACTATAGTACATGGTCACGAGCAAAATTTTGCCAAAAATGAAAAGTAGAGAATTCTCAATTTTTATAACATTCCCTGATACATATACATGTTCTTATGTTGTGTAGAAAGTTTGAGCTGATTCAGATCAAAATTGGATTTTTTACGAATTTTTAAAGTTGCTCCAAAATTGGGTAAAAGTCCCTGTACTATAGTACATGGTCACGAGCAAAATTTTGCCAAAAATGAAAAGTAGAGAATTCTCAATTTTTATAACATTCCCTGATACATATACATGTTCTTATGTTGTGTAGAAAGTTTGAGCTGATTTCGATCAAAATTAAATTTTTTACGATTTTTTAAAGTTGCTCCAAAATCGGGTAAAATTCCCTGTACTATAGTACATGGTCTCGGGCCAAATTTTGTCAAAATGAAAAGTAGAGAATTACCAATTTTTATGACATTCCCTGATACATATACATGTTCTTATGCCTCACCTCCTCCTCCTCCTCCTCCTCTTCTTCCGATGATGATTCAAGTTCCCCCCAAAGTGTTGGGTCTATTTCCTCTTCCTCCCCAATGCTGGGTCCCTGTAAGCCACACCCAACAATCATCACATGAGTGTCACATGACCCACCTCTCTATGCATTCCAAATACGTCTCCATAAAGAGGCCGACCCATTTCATCGACTGGGGGCTTTCCCCACCCACCAACAAAATACCCAAATGAACATCCCTTTAATTAGAAAAAATAATTTCTTATTTAAAATCTTTAAATATGATTACTTCTGGTATGGGTGCATTAAGTCCAGCAATCTTTAGATTAGGATAAGATGGAGGCGGACCGTAACGCTGCATGGCTATTAACCAAGGGGGAGGGAACTTTTGCTTACCCTAAAATAATAATAATAATAATAATAATAATAATAATAATAATAATAAACATTAATCTTACTGTTCCAATTGGCATTCCCAGTGCTATTCTCAGGTCGTCACTGAGGTCTCCTGGCTTACGATCTCTCAGTCTCGTCTCAAATTCCTTACCCTAACGAGGGGTGTGGTCAATTAATAACAACTACACCAACCCACCTCATAATAAAGGTCACCGTGGATAGTCATTTTAGGTTTGGTCTGCCATTTAAAGAAAGCGTCGTGAAGTTTTTGATAATCGATCGTCAGTTTCCCGAGTTTCGGTCTAACTCTTTCCCTCGTCCGCTGCTTCAAACTCTTTGCTTCCTCTTTGTCCTCCAAAGCCGACCTCATCTCCATGATACCAGTTGCCTTGAGAAAAGGAGAGAGAGGAATATCTCCATTATTCGTTTTATCTCTACCTTGATGAACTCCGGCAGACTAAAAGGAGGTTTCTCTATACCTCTCTTCCCCTGGAGATACTTCCTCTTAAAGCACCAGTGACGAGGTACTTGTACCGTATTACGAGCAGACTGACCGCGCCCACTTAATCAATAATTAATAATAAACGTGAGTTGTTACCTTCAAGTATATCAGGAGGTGCGGGTCGTGGGCGGAGACATCGTGCATTTCAACAAGGTCGGGTCGTTCCACCAGCTGCTTCAGTTGAGCAACACTCATTCGACTCAATCGCCGGAGTTTCTTTTTAGAGAGTTGGGGCTCATCTGACTTCTTCTTAGTCTAGAGAAAGGGAGAGAGAGAGAGAGGGTAGGAGTTTAAATTGTTTAATGTCTTACGTCTTCATCATCAGAATCATCACCAAGGAGAACACCTTTCTTAATGCCCTGAAAATAAGCAAAAAATTTAATAATAATTTGATAATAATTTAATTAATAATTTACCAGAATGCCTCTGGAAGAGGAGTGAGATGAACTTTGACCTTTATCTCCCTGATCACTGTCGCTAAGCTACATTTGAGAGATACGTGTTACATAAACACTTTCTTTTTACTTTAAAAGCTTCAAAAACTTTATTAAATTGATAAAAATTTGGATCAGTCGGCTTTATCCCTGGTTCCGGAACATACCTTGAAGTAGGTGTGGCCAAAATGTCATATTTGGGTATCATCACTTACTCTATTTCTACGTCTGGTTCTGCTGAGTCAGCATTATCTTCGGTGGTTTCATTCGAAGCTCTGTGTGCTTCAATTCTTTTCTGAATTTGCCTTCTCTTTCTCCTTTTTTTCTTCTTCTGGTTCTTAGTCTACAGGAAGAGGAAGAGAATGTCACAAAAATAAATCAAACTAACCTCTTTTATCTTGTCTTCTACTTGACCTTCTCCATTTTCAGCTACCACATGAGTATCTGCCATTTTATTCCTAGTTATTAAGTGCCACACCTATTATTAATCAACCCATCAAACGCCCACGCACTTTCAGCCACACCCACATGAATCTTGAGCTTATCAACATTCTCCAAGGTGTGTTTGTGTGTGGCTTTCTTGAAGGCCTTCTTCCTTTTCTAAAGTGCATTCCGCTCCTTGTAGGAGGAGAAGAATAAGGGATAGCAGGAGCAAAGTGCATCACAATAAAGCTAAACCGCTTGTCTCTCGGCTCACTCACAAGTTAACCTTACAAGCGTTAGAGAGATTCCATTCCATTCCAGAGCTAATTTTATCTAAAAGGGGCTACTCTCTCAGAAAAGCCTCCAGACTTGCATGGCCGCCGTACAGAGGACTCCTACGCCTATTGATCCAAGGAGCCGAATGGCTTTCATAGAGTCTATGGAGGAAGAACTAAAGAGGGTGCAGGAACATTTAGGGAGAAGACAATGGAAGCAGAGAAACAGTTCCACCATGACTCATTCTGCATCGAGCACTTCTTCATCAAGCACTTCTTCATTCAGGAAACAGCAAACGTACTACACCCTGGCAAGGAGCAACCCTGCGACTAGGAGGAAGAGACTGTGGGAGCCAAAAGATGAAGAAGACAGTGACGAAGCTACCGCAGCACTCTATCGAGCAAACAGCGCCCAAGACATCTTGCTAAACCATCACCACAGGCGGTCCTCCATCAGTAGCTGCAGCAGCAAGTCCCCTACCTCAAGCCCAGAGCCAATTCGAGTCAAATCTCCTCAGAGACTCCCTCCTTCAGGAGGTTATGGGAAAGAATCGCCTTTTGGCTCACCAACAAGAAGAAGACTCAGCTCCCCAATGAGAGGCAGGAGCACTTCTCCTGCTAGCTGTCTCCTACAAGACAGCCCAATTTACTTCCTTGACGACAAAAAAGAGGACCAAGTGGAGAATAGTCTCTCCAACGCTACACATCTTGCCGTTAAAGAGATGGCCTATGCATTCCGTGATGCAGTTTTTCCTGATGAGTCCTACGACGCTGAAGAAGATGATCAGGAGGAGGAGGAGGAGGAGGAGGGAGGGGAAGGAAGTGATACCAGAGAGGTAATGCCCTCGGCCCTTGATGACCTTTTCACTGCAACCGATTCCGAAACTAGTCAGTACTCAAATCAAAGTGATCAAAAACCAACCGATTGTAACACTAAAATCAGTCCCGTTGATCAAATAAGTGTCAAAAAATCGTCTGATTTGAGATCTGAATTGATTAGTTCTCAAGGTCCAAGACCAGTCCCTGTTGTTGCCAACGGTAACGAGTCAACAAAAAAACCAGAGACTGTAACACACTCAATATCGTATGAGAGATCTCAACTTGATAATCTCAAGAAAATCAAAGAGCTGAGGCTGGAGAAGGAAGAATCAGACAAGCAGCTGTCGAGAATGATAGAGCAACTTCAGCTCCAACTGAGGGAAAAAGAGAAAGACATTGACTCACTTCAGACGCAACATTTGATGGAAATAAAAGTACGAGAAGAACGGATTAAGAAACAGAGTAGACAAAACGCCAGACTTGAGAGAGAAAAGTGGGACCTGCTTAAGCGAGCGAGAGAGGCAGCAGAGCGCTCCGTTAATTTAAGAACCAAACTGGACCTTCAGGACGGATCAATGAGATCACTACAAGTTGAAATGGATAGAACTAGGGATGAGATGTCCTCAGTCAAAGCTGCCAATAACAGTCTGAGGGCGCTAGTACGAGATCTTAAAACTAAAACCCAAACCTTTGATGTCGGAATTCAAGTTGATATGATTGTGCCACACCCACAAGTGGTTGGCATGGAAACTCATCAAGAGAATGGTCAGCGAGAGGAACCAGGTGAGAATGACAGTGGTAACGCTAGCGGAGGGGGAGGTGCTGAACTAAACATACTGGAAGAATGGGCGGAGAATATGAGCATAACTTCATCTCATTATGATGGCCGAGAGACCACGCCTACAAACTCATTCCTTGAGAGACAAGGGAAAGAGAGGAGGAGTATGAAGAACCTGTTGAAATTCAAATTCCGTCGCTCATCAAGCACTGGAAAACAACGACACAGTTCGACCAGTCTCACTAGGGCCAGTACCAGCACCTCTAGTCTAGGTAAGGAAAGGGGCGGGACCTTGTATTGGGTGGGTGTGGTTACTGTCATAATTACGGAGTGAGTGAGTCTCAAAAATGTATAAATTTTGTATTATTTTATGGCTGAGCTATTTTCTCAGCCACACCTGAATTTAAATAACTACATGTACCTGTGTATCTAATGATACAACATGTCTCTGCTTTTACTGACCTGATGATAAGGCATTGCAGGGGTGTATCTAGAAATTGAAGGAGGGGGGTGCCGAGGGTGCGCGAAGCGAGCCACGATTTTGGCCACATCCACTTTTACGGCGGTAAAATGGCCTTTTCCTGCATTTTCGTCAATTATGGGTGGGGCTAAGATCATTTCAAGCATACTGCTATGTTACTGGTACTTCTGATTGCTCCTTAAAGCACTGGAAACTGCTGAAATCATGATCAGGGGGCTAGATAACTTTGTTAAGAGGCTTGGTAGTGATGCAAGAGTCCAGGACTTCAGTAATTTTTTCTGAGCCCAGCCCTGAGGGGGGTGCTCAAGCCCCTTCAGCCCCAGCCCAGCCCTGAGGGGGGTGCTCAAGCCCCTTCAGCCCCCCCCCTAAATACGCCTCTGCATTGTGTGCCTAATGTAAGGTTTGTTGGCAGGTTGTCACAGCTATTTATAGTGAACCAAATGGCCTGAAACATTAGCCTATGCACGTTTAGATTTAACCACAAATTAATGACATGTGAATCGTGTAGAGTATATTCTACTCACAGACCAAAGCTAATGTACCCACACATACACACACACACTCACACGCAGTGACAGTGACAAACAAACGCTTCTGTTATTGTTATTACAATGAAGTTATGAGCTTGTGTGGTATACAGGGATTCCACTCTCAGCCTCTCTTCCTTTCTTCAATAAAAACTGCTTTCAGTTAGAGAATTCCTCCACAGACAGTATGAAAGCCATACTGGGCTGAGCATGAGTAGAAAGAGCCTCTACAATTTACAGTTATAGTAATTAGGAGGTAGAATTATTAATAAGTATAATATAGTGTGTTCCAGAAATAAAATATGACTAGATCAAAGTCATTATAGGCCCAGAGTGCATGTAGTTATATGCAGCCTCTGGTTTATCAGGAGGGACTGGGCAATACCCAAGTCAATAACAGGAGACTGACTGTTGCATAACTGGCGGAGCAAACTTAGTTATGCCACCTGCTTTGAAAAACAAACCAAAAATACTAGTAGCAGTTGTGTCTATCCATCTCTCTCCCTCTCCCTTTCTCCCTCTCCCCTCTCTCTCTCCCTCTCTCTAGTAATGGCTATAACATTTATATGGTATTTAGTGTAATTATTTGTTTAAGGGAAATGAGTATAGAAATACATGTACATAACTGTACTTGTATAAGGGAAATGAGTGGATAAACAAATGTAATTATTATTGATGATACCACTTGTCCTTAGACTATACAAAAATTAAACAAAAATAAACACGCACGCTCAACCAAGCATCTTATGTATTTTTGTAAAATTTATAAATTTTGTTACTCAGTTATGAATAACTAGTAGACTCACAGCATAAATGTTTTAGATATATCTGGATGATGTAACTTAGCAAAATACATGCATTGTATGTCACACAAGTTACCATAAGTCTCTTGTTAAAAGTGCAGAGTAAATTATCCAGTGAGACAGTTACTACTGATGATAGAGTGTAATGATAACTGTTCAAACTTTTGATAACAACAAAAAGGAACTACTCTCTCTCTTTCTGCTATACATAGTGTAGTACCCATTTGGTTTTCAGTATCTCAACAGTGGGTTTATCCCTCATAAATATTTGACTCTCCAATATAAACCTCACATGTACATGTATATGTACAAGTACATGTACATTAAATGTCCACATACATGTATAGTATGTCTGGATTGTGTACATTCAAACAGTAAGGTGGTGTCAGACTTCTAATAGCCATAATGAGGTATTCACAGTGTCTATACTGAGGAGTGATGAATCATGTTATAAGTTGTTCCAAGAGTACGTTATTCACTGGCTGTTAGGTAGAGATAATGACTCATTCACATTCCATCAAACCACACAAGAGGACCAGCCTGCATTCCTTAACAACCATGAATATTTAGTCTATCCTATATCACATTGTTCAAGGAGGTATACAGTACATTGTCCTACATCAGCTTTTCTTGTATGAATATCCATGCTTAATATACTTGCTTGAAATAATTAAATCTATTTATTTTTAATGATTTCACGTACTACAATGCTAATAGTTATAGTGATCTGCCTTCAAAGGAAAGAGATAACCTTGTATTAGAGAGAAAAGATACAAACTAATATAACAATGGACTCATTATTATTGTAACAATCCATTTACAACAATTCTCACAACATTTCTAACTCTCTCTCTTTCTTTCTCTTTCTCCCCCTCCCTCTCCCTCCAGATAACCTACAGCTTTGCAGTCAGTCCTCACTCCCTGTCACACACTCTGTCTCAGGACTCACTCGTTCACAGTCCCCAGGGAATACTCACCAAAGACACTCGACCGTGAGTCTCCAGGAACAAGCAAACCTCACTCACCCTCCCCCTCGATCTGCTCCCTCACCAGTCGCCATTATATCACCTGCTCCACATCTCCCCCAGTCCGGAGGGCAGCAAGGCAGTTCTGATTCACACGTAGTACTAAAGGAATTCCAGGGAGTGAGTTTTCAGCAATGGAACACAAGGGCTTTAGTGGCATGGATAGACATTGTTGTTGGTAAGTATATTAGTAATAATAATACTGCCTGTCTATTCCGGAGACCTTGGGACCCAATAATACCCTCCTGATTATGAGCCTGTCCTTATTTCAGAGGTTCATTAATACACATATATCTTAGAGTGTCCACAATAGCAGGTTATAATGCACTTGTGTGTGTGAAATAATGAAAGGGAGAGAAACTATAAAATGAAGGAAGAGGTTGAAGCAGTGGGAGGATTGGAATGACTGAAATTGAAAGAATTTAACAGTAAATAATACAAAGGCCGACCATATAAAATAATAAGAGAGGCTGTGGTAGTGGGGGGGACTATGTCCTCCTGATTGAACCCACTAGATAAAGTTATGAGTGACTGGAGGAGAGTAACTAGTGAGTGTATACCAGCAGCTGGAACCAACCATCTGTCTCTTTACTATAGCAGAGACTGGCCTGGGAGTAACATATACAACATGTACATATACATGTATATGTATATGTGCATGTATATGTGCATGTATATGTACATGTATATGTGCATGTGTGTGTGTATGTAGATGTGTATGTATATGTGTATGTGTGTGTGTGTGTGTGTGCTGATATGATATCATGGCTTCCTTTGTGATTTTACTTGCTATGCTTTGAAGGAGAGAGTATTAATAATAATTTTAAATAATTTTTAAAAGCAAACCTTACTACAGCACAACATAAACTCTCATGATACCAATCTTTATCAATATGTCCCTCACTCAGGTATGCCCCAGTACATTAGTACCATCAGACAGCACGTGACGTCAGGACATGCTATGCTGGCACTTACTAACAGCGACATGGAAAAGAGACTGGGTATAGGACACCCTCTACATAGGAGGAGACTAAGACTAGCCATTGAAGAACAAAGAAGACCTTCAAGGTATGAACACACACACAAACAGACATTAATGTATAAGGACAAGAACACCTTTATAATGAGGACACTTCTGTACAGGTAGTGTGGGCCCAATGGTGTCCTTAATAAAGAGGCTACACTGTACATGTATTAAGGACAGGTAGTGTGGGCCCAATGGTGTCCTTAATAAAGAGGCTACACTGCACATGCACATATAAATACATGCACAATATCTTTGTCTGCTGGTATAGTGATTTGTACACTTGTGTATGTAGGAGGATCAGCTCAATCATTTGTTTTATTAAATTAGTGTTTATCTGATACCGTGAGATTGTATAGTCCTGTCTCCTACTACAAAGGGAGAGAGAGGGAGGGAGAGAATGCGTACAGTTGCTTGGGAAAAAGAGATAAATAAATATAATTTTTGTTTGTTCTTATACTATTAGCTTTATATGAACTAAAATTCCTAAAATGTTCACAAACATTATTTTGAACATGTAAGCATGTTAGATATTAGATTATAGCAGGTGGGTGTTTTGACCATTTAGGGTAACCGAGGCTATGCAATTATTGGAATAAATATCAAATGAAATATAATTGTATTTAGTATCAAATTAGAAGAGAAGGAGAGAGAGAGAGATGGAGAGAGGAAAAGAGGCTTATGTGTAATCACTTCAAGGCTCAAAATGATCGTGAATGACAGTTCAAATTTAGGCTACATATACACTCTGCTATTTTTGAAATAAAAGCTTTAAAGTGACAACACAAACATCTTCAACACATACAATAATTGCAGCTGTCCTCAATAAAGAGGTTATGCTGTAAGGAGAGGCTATACGTGATGTCATTGATAGAGGACAATGCAATCAACTTTTGACAGCTCATATTAGCAGCTGTAGTAAATGAGTGTAATAATTCTCATGTGCTGGAGGTTGTGATGGTTGAATTCTTTATGACTCCATTTCATCCTCAGACAATCGTCATGCATAGTGACGGCCGTGGCGGTTACTTAATGTTTATACAGCTGCATCATATCAGCCCTCCTTACTATAATTGACTATTTTATAACAACAATTAGGACACATTTTTGTGTTTGCATGGCTGTATACATAATATCATCACATCCTCTCTCTCCCTCCCCCTCCCTCCCCCCTCCTCTACTCTCTCTCTCCTCCAGTCCAGTGTATCCAGAAGCAGCTGGTATTGATCATAATTGGGTAGCCTACACGTGGGCGGTGAATTGCGGTCTCCCTCATTTATCATCGCAGCTGTACAACGGAATGGTCAATGCTATCGTCTTGAATTCACTATCCAGAGAAGACCTTAAGAAATACTTCAAAGTAAATAAATAATAAAAAATAAGAACTGATATTATTGTACATGTAATTCTACTAAAGGTAATTAAAAATAAAATGTTACATTAACTTTTATTCACATGTACATGTACTCCCTCCCTCCATAGATCACGAAGAAGGTGGAGCAGCTCAGTTTCTTGTCTGGAGTGGAGTTGCTGAGGATGCACGAGTTCAATCGTGACTCACTCCACATGCACCACTTGACCACGGACAACCCACTGTACTGGAATAATGGCGACATACTCAACTGGCTCAAGAAGATAAACTTGGAGGTGAAATTGACATATAAAAAATGCATGTACATGTACACTGAATGGGTCCCAGGGGGTCTAAAATTTCACCTCAAATTTCGTGATTTTTACTTTACTACTTCATTTAGGAATACTCAGGCTATGTCAAAGACTCGGGGGTCCATGGGGCCCTCCTGTTTTTAGAAAGAGGATACTTCAACAGTGAGCAGCTGGCAAATATAATTCACATACCAACCAAGTCTCCTCTGAGAAAGTATCTAGCAACACAACTAGCTAAACTCTTCTCGGCAGACGAATTAAACAGGTAAAATAATAATAATTTAGAAATTCACCAAGATTTAACATCACTTCAAAACTACCAGCTGGAGTGTATTATTAGTATATTGTTTCTATTGCTAGTGCTGAAGCCAATGAAGAGATCATTACGTCACAAGAGCAGCTCACACCTGCTGATGTTGCCCCCCTCTCTCCTTCTTCCCCTCCTCTTCACACAATGTTATCATCGTCAAGCGAGCACTCACCACACCCATCTCGCCGGTTGCTAGCGGTAACCACCTCAAACCCAAACCTAACGGAAGAAGAACAGCCTCCGCCCACAAACTTTGACAGGAATCATGTTGGGAGGCGGAGCTTAAGAGTAAGTTATTACTTAATATTTAATTAAAAGTAAAAAGTAGCTAATAAAAAACACTAAAAATTATGGCATTAAACGTACACACAGCTTAATTTAATTAATCGTCATAATAATAATAATAATAATAATAATAATAATAATAATAATAATAATAATGCATGTAAAGGCTGTTTTTTACTACGCTTGGACTAGTTTACATATGCACATGCATAAAAGGGATCACGTTCAATTACTAAGACAATAATCAAATAATAAAATTACTAACAATATTAACAATAATAGTAAAAATTAATTGATGAAACAATATGATGTACAGGTGCATTAATGTGCGCCAAAATGACTCATACTCATTACATATACATCTATTATTAATATATGTAATGTACTGTAGGAATCAATGTTAAGAGCAGTTCAATTGCCAGCTGCTGACACTAGCAGAAGACAGAGACCTGTTAGTCAGTTAGTAAGTACTACAACCGTCTAATGGTCACGTGACTGACACACCCACTTATGTATCAATCATTATTACAATCAAGATTATTTCACTATTATTTAATATTAATATTATTATTATTATTATTATTATTATTATTATTATTCACAGCATCCATTTTTTCGCTGCAGACTTGACCAACACTCAATTATTTTAAAATTGTCATTATTTTCTGTCGTATTTATTATTATTTAAATTATTATTATTATTGTTATTATTAGTAATGGAGTCACGATCGTTATTTATCATCACACCATTTGTTATTTTTTATTGAAATAAAATAAATAAATAAAATCTTTTCTCAGGATTGAGGCTCATCGCTAGATGGCATGGCGGACATTATTGCTTTATGAATTGAGCCAATATCTTTTTCTCTCTCATTGATCTCGGCCAGTGGAGTCCATGAACGATCAAACTCCAATTTATAAGAACCAAGAAACGTATTAGGAGGGTTTCCGCCCCACTCCTGGAAAGGGGAGGAGAAAGAGGCGCGGTCTTAAACATAATGCTGTCTCCATAGATATTCACAGGATTACCGTCAATACATTACGTGTACATGTAAACGCTCTTGCTATACAATATAAATGTATTTACTTCAGGGGAGAGCATTGAGAAATAGGAGGTTCCATTCTTCTTCTCGTACAGATGATAGATTTTGCCTGGTACCTTTACAAAATTACAAGCAGCATGATGGAGCTGAGCATCTCTTTTAGCTGACAACAATATCTTATGAGCCTGTACAATAGGGATAAGACTATCAACTTTTAAAATTCGTAAAAAATCCAATTTTGATCGAAATCAGCTCAAACTTTCTACACAACATAAGAACATGTACATGTATCAGGGAATGTTATAAAAATTGAGAATTCTCTACTTTTCATTTTTGGCAAAATTTGGTCCGAGACCATGTACTATAGTACAGGGACTTTTGTCGGATTTTGGAGCAACTTTAAAAATTCGTAAAAAATCCAATTTTGATCGATATCAGTTCAAACTTTCTACACAACATAAGAGCATGTATATATATCAGGAAATCTTATAAAAATTGAGAATTCTCTACTTTTCATTTTTGGCAAAATTTTACAAAAATCCCTGTACTATAGTACAGGGGCTTTTATCCGATTTTGGAGTAACTTTAAAAAATCATTAAAAATCCAATTTTGATCGGAATCAGTTCAAACTTTCTACACAACATAAGAACATGTATATGTATCAGGGAATGTTATAAAAATTGAGAAATCTCTACTTTTCATTTTTGGCAAAATTCAGCTCGAGACCATGTACTATAGTACAGGGACTTGGACCCAATTTTAGAGCAAATAAAGTTATGAGTATATCGTGTGTCTTACCTGCTCTTGTAAATAGCGGATTTGATCAACAACCACCTGCAGTTTACCAGTAGTTGTAGCCTGCACAAATTCATCAGCTTGCTGAACCTAGAAATTAAAAAAAATTAAAAATCAATATTAATAATCATAAATAACTAGCCACACCCCAGTGACTATTTATTACATAATTCATAAATGCATGTAAATATTTGTCACATATCTATCTATTATCTATCATTATAGATCCACCTGTGCAGCTAGAGAGACGAGGTCATGTGGATCATAATGCTTGTGGACTAATCTTGGACTAACTAACTGTTGAGTGACGGTCTCTTCCCGTGGGACTATCTTAGCGGATGCTGAACCTAAAGAAAAGCAAACAAATATTATTATCAGATATTTATTCTTTTACCTCCTAAAAGGAGGGACTCTGGAGTCTTTTCAAAAGGAAGAATCTCCTTGTTCTCTCTTTCTGCCATTTTGGACTACACGTGGTTTAAGTATACCAAAAATTTACGGAAATCCGTATTCATTGCACCAGACAGTTATTAATAGTTATTGAGCTCATTAATTATGCATGAGGTTTACTGGACTCATTAATTATGCACTCATTCAAACAGACAGACAGTTATTAATAGTTATTGGACTCATTAATTATGCATGCACTCATTAATAGCTATTGGATATTAATTATGCATGCACTCACTCAAACAGACAGACAGTTCAGTATAGCACGAACTCATTAATTATGCATGCACTCACTCAAACAGACAGATAGTTATTAATAGTTATTCACTTCATTAATTATGGATGCTTGCACTCATTCACATCTCACCAAGACTTTTAGAGAGGCTCTCTTAACCTTCCATCTTAATTGCATATGCTGTAATCTTGAGCACTTTTAACACTTACTCCTGCTCCTTTTCCCGGCACATCTGCCGGTTTACTATCACGTGATCTGGTGCAACCAAACTCCTCGTTGCATAGCAACACTCTGACGTCAGGCGGTAACACAAGAAAAGAAGCACGAGGCAGCCATTTTATCCTCTCTCTCTCCTTTGTCAGTTTTCCTTTTACAAACCTATTTCTAGCTATTTCTCTTTCTCTTAGTAGGTTTACTGGAGTGTAGAACTGTTGGAAAGAGACAGACAGGATCAGTTTGTATGTATAGGAGGAGCCATGACTTGTATACTGTCTGGAGTATAGAGGATAATTAATGAGATAAGTTAACACACACGCACACAGTGTTACTGTATATGAGTGTGTGATGAATAATGGAGGGAATAGTTTATCTAAGTGTCAGTTGGTAAAGACAATGAGCAAAGCAAGAGTGAGAAATACATGTAATGGGGAAAAACGAGT